ACATGGCAGTTGGCAAGAAATGGCTTTATTAATTGCAAGTGCTACAAACCAGATTTGAAATGGTTATAGATAGCTGTGGTGTTTATTGTTGCAGCTTTTTCCTGGCCTTTTGCATGCACACTGCTTTGAATATGATTTTGASTACCTGTCCCCTGTATCCAAGGTCTCTACATCACACACATGTTCATCAGTGCGAAAGCTGCAGATCCCAGCCACACACCACCAGCAGCTCCAGCCAGTTTGCAGAGACATGGCAGCATTTATCTGCACACAGGTTTCCAGCTGCATCATAAACAGAGTTGAAGTTGGAAAATTACRCAAGTGAGAATTCCCAAATATTTGAGCACAAAAATACAAAGCAATAACCCTTATTTTAAAAGTAACATTTTAGGAGAGGAAGCGTCCATATAAAATTCCAATGCCTTAAAATATTTCTGAGTAGAAAATATTTTCTCACAATTTCTCAGCATTTCTTTTAAGATAAATGATTTACACAGATACAATAATAATCTGTGTTTAAGAGAATTTCACTACAATGACCACTGCTGTAAAGCCCAACCTTGTTCATATTCAACAAGTTTCCATCCTGCTTATTTCTATTTTTSATGCATTAGAGTGCTTCAAATCCAGCTTCTTCAGTTTCTCCACCTGAATGATTTCCACTCCTGGTTCTATGCAGAGCACTGTAATCATCACTCCTGGATTCAACACTAAAGTAAAGATAAAATAAACCTAGAGTATAAAACAAGAAGATGGAAGGAAAGCCATTGAAGAGGTTTTAGCAGACAGAACCAGTACATGGACATGTCCTTGTGCTCCCTAAAGTAATGAAAGCCTTTCATCTAAAAGTGCAAGTAGCAGGAAAGAAGCTGAGCATTGAGTGAATTTTTTTGGCATCCGGTGGCAGTGTTACTGATGTAAGGCTGAACAGCAGCAGCACATTGTCCCAAGCAAGATACAGAGTTCCTGGAACGTGCAGCAAGGCTCTAGGAAGGAAGGAACATATTACCAAGTAGATAAGGTACTGCTTTTAGTGTCCTGCTTTTAGGGTTAGCAAGCAGGTCTTGGCAAAAGTCGGAATGCTATTGTGTTTTCAGCTTTGATTTTCACATGCGTCAGTGGAGTTTTTATTTTCTTCAGGKAAAATGCTGCTGATGTAAGAAATATCAGCATTTCTGCCATTACTGTAAAAATTACAGAAAGAAAAGGCCCCTGAAAAGGACCCGAAGACAAAATACAGCACACTGAGAGAGGCTATCAGGAACAGGATTTCCAGAACAAATACCTGGCTCTTTACTATCTTCAGTCATATATTGTTAACCTAAGTCTGGTACAAGTTTTCCCTCYCTCACCTCAAGAACCTTGACCTTCTGACATATCTGGGTTTCATAGTTATGTGTCCATGAATACCTGATACCTGAAGTTCTAATGCCTTATTATTTAATCAACAGAGCAGCTAAAACTAATTGATATGACCGATTTTCTATCTACTGCAAGTTCCACTTAATCCACAAATTTATTTTCATTATTCTAATCAATAAACTGCAGTTCTCCCAACTGGAAAGCAGAAAAAAGAATCCTTAAGTAAAAATTAGTAGACCAGTATACACAAGTGCCAAAAATACATATATAAGTAACAAATATAAGTAGCAAACACAGATCATCTTGGTGTTTTCACTGGCATAACTCACATTTATAGTTTCCAAGTCTCAACTGAGGCTTCTTCTTAAGTGCCTTTGTGGTCATTTWAATTGCTAAAGGAGCAACAGCTCATGACCTAGTATTTGTCATGTTAACTGTGGAATAAATTAAATATTTTCTTACCAATGAATGGAGGATACAACTCTGGTATTTCAGGTTAATTTCTGTATTAAACAGCAGAATAAAATTCTTAGCAGAGTGCAGGACCTGCAGCAGAGGCTGAGGTGGAATTATGTTGCCACAGGTACAAAACACTCACTCAGGCACACAGATCTGATACATTTGCTATGAAAGTAGTATGGCAATGGCCATGGGACAAATGTATCACAGTATCATGGACCTGCACTTTATCTTCAGTTCTAGCACARAGTGTTTGATGTGTATCTCATGTTTACTTATAAAATGGACTGGAGAATAAACACCACCTCCAGGGACTAAGGACACCAGGCTATAGTTGATAGCAAAGGTCAAGTTGTACAGAAATTCTCCCCTGTTGATTACATCCTCAAAACAGTATCCATGTTCTTTCAATCCAGTACAGGCCACCTGTAGCCCATGCAACATTTGAAGCACTTTGACTGCTAGTATGTGAAAGGGACATGGAGGCACTTAATGGGGAATGCAGTTAGAGAAATTTAACTTGGACCACAGAAGGTAGCTTCTGTGTTTCTTCTTGCACACCAAATGAATTTAGTTAATCTTTTTATAAACAAGCATATTCATTTCACTGGAGAAATCCTTTCCCTACTAATCAAGAGTTGTCCTTTCACTCCAAGATCTCTATTAATCAAACAAAAGGAGGAAGTGACCAACCTATGACAATGCAGGAAACTTAATGGAATCTGACAATTACCTCCAATTCAGCATTACTTCCTTTTGTCCTTACCATYACCTTTCCCTACCCTTCTCATTTTTGTATAGTTGGTTTACTACTCTGCAAGGATTTATTGGATTTTATTGAATATCACCTTTTATTTATTGAGTCTTYAAGCTCATTGCAGGAAGACAGTTACCATGAATACCTTTTTCCTATCTCAGCAGGGCTCTTCATGTACCCCATGGAACCAGCTGACAGTCATAAGATACCCGCAGTCAGAATTCATTGGGAGTGCCTTCAGTTCTGAAAACAGGGCTGTCTTGTTGAGAGTACTTTTCTCTCCAGCAAGAATAAAGGAAAGGCTTTTTGCAGACTAYACTACTAATCTCCTAGGAGAAATTTGCTTTGCTACGTCTCTGCAATCAGTGTAAACAGGYGAACCCTCACCCCAGACAGCTGGCACACAGCGATTGGCATACCCCTGCTCAACACAGAATTGTTACTGGTGGCATTCTTTTCCCATTCCATCCAGTTCTCCTTCATACCTTTTAAGCATCTCAAAAATTCAGCTCTACCTTATTTGCTCTGTTTACTACCTTCAATGTGTTCGCAACACTGCAGAGTGAGCTCCCCACATGTCAATACACATCCTCAGCCTTCACCTGTCCTGAGCTTCCACCCTACTCTTCCTCTGGGGACTAACACTCTAGTTTTATTCTTCATAATCACTAATACAAGGCCATCATTCTATGTCCACTTTATGGTTTCAATCCCACTGATTTTTCCCACCTTGATTCATTTATGAAAACAGTGACATAAATTACTCTCATTGGTGATCAGTTTTTTAGCTTAGACTGTGCTATAGACTTGATTGAATGAAAATACTMTTTCAGACTAGTTATAATTCAACTTCATGCATGAAATTCTGTTTTACTGAATGATTTCTCTGCACCATATACTTACAGGGACATAATTAGCCACTATAGCTTAAGAGTCCGTGGAAGTTCACAAAGCTGTAAATTGCATCTTACAATTTTTAAAAGCATTATCAAGTTCTAGATTTGTTTTCAAGAAATCCCTTCTGACTAGGTCTTCTGGCTTTGATMCCTCCACCATTACATCTGCAAGGASCTTTKSTTAAATCCRGACCAAAACAAATGACATCAAATTGAAAGAAACGTTGGAGCAGAAATTAAAACAAAGTATGAGCATAAGCCAAAAATCACAGCTCTGAAAAGATTTACATTGCTGCTAAGCATGAAGGTAAACAACCCTCCACAGGTGTCCTTTTACAGTTTTAGACAGAACTTTGCTTCTGAGCAGGCTCCATCTTGGCAATGGTGAGCTACTGCCCACAATCCCAAGCAGAGCTGTGAGCTGGTCATGCTCTATCTCATTGCAGAACAGTCAATTTTACAGTTAACTGCATCTCATCAACCCATTTGGGCTTTGCACAGTTTTTATTAGGATCCTTTTCTATAAGAGAGTTTATCTTTCTCAGTAATCCCTTAGAGAATACCCTAGGTTTAGGTCAGCCTTTAATTTCAAGCTKTAGCTCCCTCACACCATACTTTTCTGAACCCATTAACCTGTGTGTGTAAGTGCAACAACTGAGGTCACTCACTTGAAGGAAAATAGGATTGGCACTCTGTCTTTTAAACACCTAACTCTGCAAAACTATAATTTTCYGGATCAGTTTTCCTGCTTCAACAACTGGAATTCTCATCTGGTCAGTCCCTCRGTATTACTGACCAACTTCACTGCCATTTTTCCACTGCTGAGACAAGCATTTCAAGGTCAGAGAAAATAGTTTCAACTCATATCAGCATCTCGTATTTTAAATCCTCAAAGGACCAAGGAGTTGCATTGTAAATGATGTGCTTGAGGTAGATAGTCTCCATATGCATTAGCATTCCAGGACTAATCTTCAAACATGATTTCTCAGCTGTAAAACAACACATTTGTACTGTTTTTACAGTGCTTCTACAAGTATTCAATCCMTGAATTTCAACTACAATTCTCCTAATACATCCAGCACTGAGTTGTGCATTATAAATCAGGTYATCCTGACTCCACTCTTCACCTCTGCATTTTTTGCAGAGCTTTAAAATACCTAATTTCATAATCAGCTTTTATCAATACAGTTCAGATCCTATACTTTCTTTTCTTTTGTGCCACTATCAGCATTTCAGTAGCAAAAAGGCTTTTTTTTGACTGTTTAATTAAACTGATTGGTTCTTTTGACATAATGTATTATAGCCAGACTTAGTACTGAGTATTGGTAATCACAGAAAAACACTGACTTGACTGATTCAATGTCTGCTCAGCAATTCCCTAGGGAAATGTGGACAGAAAACAACACATTACTAGATCACAAGATGGATAAAGACAAAAAAAGGTTTGCTGGGCTTCAYGTGCTCCACCAAGAACAATCTCAGAAAACAAGCTGAAAGCTCAACAATTGAGAGACACATTTTATGGAGAACAAATATTTTCAGTTCAGTGTATTTGGTTTCTAAACAGTGAGCTTGCAATGAAAAGTATCAAATCCCACTTAATAGTATCAGTGTAAAACCCCCAAATATACACATTAAAATTCCTTATTATTTCTGACAGCATATTTATATACAGGGGAAAAACACTGGACCTGTGGGACACTGGAGAATAAAACAGCTTTGCTCAAGAATAGACTTCCTCTTGCCCCGTGCCAGCATTTTTACTGGGTAGTGAATAGGATGTGGCCTAAAACACGACACTGCAGAGCTTATCTCCCTCAGCTTGGCTGTTCCTGATGTGTAACAGGTCTACAGGTATGATCACTGTTACATGGAATCCTTATATTCAATATTAAGGTAAATTTTGTTCAAAATTAATTTACCTAAAGTACATCTGTGTCTTCTAAGCTACATTCTCAGACAACGGTTACACATTAGTAAACACACAATTCTCTTTCTGTAGATCTTGCCCAAATTTTGAGCAACACAACAGCTGCTGAAAGGTGAACATAGAGAATGAGTTGGTCTGGAACTTGGTGGGTTTTAAATAAATGTGTGCACTTGTTTTTTTTGTGTTCCTGCTCAAAATYCTGTTTCTCCAATTTGTCTGCAAGGATTAAGGCATCACAAACTCCTGCACCTCCAGTATAGTCTTGGGGACTGAGTAACAAGGTCTGATAAACAACAAAAAAAGTATTATATGCKAAAGTCATTAATTTGACTGTGAAACCTTCCTCCTTTCTACACTACAAACATACACAAAAAAACCCAATTACCATTTTTTACTTACAACCAGAACTACATTTAGAGATGGTTAAACCGACTATTACACATCTACTTTCAAATAATCCTGGGTTAATAGGAAAGACCTTGGTTTACCTTTAGGAATAAGATCTTATTTTAAGAACAAGGTATATATACACAGTATCAGGGACTGATACTGATTGCATTTCCCAGTAAAATTATGCAGCATGAAATCCCAAAAGAAATTCAATGAAAGTATSTTTAGCAAAATGTAGAAACTTTAATTTACATGCGAAACTACAATATATTCATAATAAAAAAATGGTGACTAAACTAATTAAACACAATCTGTAAAAACTGTCCAYGTTGCTAAATAGGTCTGTACAACCGAAGATTTACAAAGTCCCTGTGCATTTTCATCTCTTCAATGCACAACTGAGTTTAAAGGTTCTGCTCGAATATTCCCCAAGTCAAGAGCTGAATCTGTCTCTTCATCAATTTCACCAATTACAGCACTGCAATAAAAAAAAGAAAATCARGTTACTATTTTTTGAAATCAAATYACACAGTTCTAGAATAGAAGCTGTRTTTTATTTTCTAATCACCCTTACTCGCTGTTGACTATACAGAGTTCTTTTGACTGATGCTACATATTCCATGAAAGCTTCTACTGATGCACACAGGAATGTCTGGAAGTACGTAGAACTTGTGTGCAAAAAAATGGAAGAAACAGTCTTGGTACATTCTCCTTTTTCAGTCATTATTCTATCTTTTCCTTTGTCATCTCTGAGCCTGTCCTGAGAGGAGGGGTGCTCCACCCCTATTACCATCTTCAATCTCATCATTTTAATGCAATCACTTCTGTAAAAGAAGTGTCAATGTTTGCTATTTAATACAGAATCACAGTAATTTAGGTTTGAAAAGACGTGCAAGATCAAGTCCAACCATTAACCTAACACTACCAAGTCCACCACTAAACCATATCCCTAAGTGCCACTTCTACATATCTTCAGAGATGGTAACTCAGCTGTGACAATACTTCCAGTGCTACCCACAGAAACAAAGATGAAAGCTGTTTGGGGCTATCTATATCAATACAGATTACATACATGCACACACACACAAATACACGTGTATATACACACCGCAAGTTTGTATGAAAAGATCTAAACAAGAACATGCTATACTTACACGTTATCACCTCTTACAATGTATAATCCCAGCACCACTTGCTCAACTCCTTGTGAAGAACTGAACACTCGTTCATGGCTTTCATCCAAAATTAAGTTTATAGTCTGATCAAAACCTTTGAGCGTTCCCTGAAAAAAACACACCAAAAAACCATGCTCCAATTACCCTTAAAATTTTTCATCTTTGCACTCAAGGATATCTTAAACACAGTGGCAAAACTAAGGTACTAGAGAACAGATGTTCTATTTAGGTTTCATTCTTTGGTTTAAGCACAAGGAATAAAGCAATAATCAATTTAAGTGAAGTACACATGTATTACTGTATGTTCRTGCTAAAAGATACAATAAGCTTTAGCATTAAAATAAGTAAATTTCAATTTTATCCATCATGTTCCTCTAGACAACTAATTTTTCTGTTTCTACACTGTTTTGTTTTTTTTGTTTTTTTTTGTATGGAAGTTTCCAGAAATTAATAATAAATAATTAAATAAAACAACAGAAAAGCTGGATTCTTGTGGTCAACAATATTGACACCATTCCGAACAAGCAATTTTAAGTGGTATGTCTTTGAAAGAGTTTAAAAAAAATAGTAAACACAAGTTAAAAATAAATTTAAAAAATACAGGATTTTTGTGTTACTTCAATACGTRTTTGGAAAAATGGTAACATAAATTTACCATCACTAAATGATTAAGAAATTCAAACTCACATCAAACAGCCATTCAAACAGAGGTAATAGGCATTTACATTATCTAACAATGAATCATATTGACCAACTCCATTCAAATCTTTATGACTGACTTCAGCCAAGCAGATTTGTTGAAGCCAAAGCATTTTTCTGTTTTGTCTTTCCAAAGGCTGCACAAAGCTAAGTACAGACAGAAAGACACAATCCTCATGCAACAGTCATACTATGAAGTTACACTCAAAACACAAAAGAATAAAAGAGGGGGGGTAAAGTGAAGCAAAAAATAAAACCCAAAACACAGAAACAAAAAAAACTAAAATATTATACAGCTAATATATACGTTGGCCTATCCTCAGGTTTTCAGGTATAAACAGAAGCCCATGGCAACTCTCCATCTTTTCTTTGACCACAGGGAAGAAATGGTTTCAGCATGAAGACTGAAGAGCTTACAGAACAAAGGACATTTTAGATGGAAACTGAATTATTGAAAAGGAATGCCTTTTTTTGTGCATTCCCACAGAAAAAGCCAGTTGACAAAAAGGTCAGAGCATCTGYACACAGATATTTAACAACAAAGCTGACATACAAGAACCAGTGTTTATAAAATTMTTTTTTCAAGCTTTATGGTGATTATTCTATACTCCATAATTTAAAGGTATGAATATRTGAGACTATACTAACAGAGCCTTTTTATTGTCACGATGGAAACTCTTTATGAGGGAAAATAAATTCTTAAAAAATGTAAGTCTTACCACAATCATTCTTCCATCAGAAGTAATTACTGCAACAGTACCTGGTATTTCATTAAGGAAACATTTAGCCATATCTGAAATAGAGCCATTAACATTTTCTGAAACATTCATGTGTAATACAGGTTTTAGGAGCTAAGAGCCCAAAAAGCCTATCAGCAGTTTGTTTTAAAGCAGCACAATTGATAATGTTGATAATAACATTTAACAATATAGTACTTTTCATGAAAATCTCCTTTAAAGCTTCACTTTACCCAGCTATGGACAGTCATACACAAACATGAACAGCAYTAAAAGCAGAATAGCTCACCTCTCTTCCCATTATTAACTGTACTCAAAATTTAAACAACAGTTTTAAGTCCTTAAAAAACCTTTCCGCAGAGGTTATCTCGAGGCTACGATTCCGCATCCCTTCTCTCTCAACATCTGATTATCCCAATTCGATGATCATATATCCATCATCTTGACTACTTCAGGGTTACTATCTTACTATTCGTGAATTAAACTGAAAATGTCCAAGGGTTACAATGAACACAAAAAAACTAGCATGAAAAGCGTTCCAAGAACTTCAGCTCACGCGTTTTCAGCAAGTGATGCAAGGGTGGCAACTAAGCGCATGTTACCAGCCCTTTAACGGGGCAGCCCCACCGCGAATGTCGCTCCTCATCACGGATCGGGAAAGGCCCAGCTCGGCAGCATTGGGTGCTATAGGGGCCCCTACTCTCCGGGGAGCCTCCGGCCTGCCAATCCCCTGTACGGAGAAACGGCCACCACCAACGGGGACACGCCCAAGCACCAGAATCGAGCTGCCGCGACCAGGCCCCGCTCAGGGCCCCACTCGGAGAGGGGTCCCGGTGCCCGGCGCCCCCCGTGCCCCATGCGGCGGAGGATACGGTTGATGTAGTTCTCCAGCGCGGAGGTCATGGCGGCCGAGTCTCCCGCGAGGCGCCGCCACGTCCGGCGCGCGCCGCTGACGTGCGGACCGGCGCGCAGGCGCAGAGCGCAGCGGCGRGGCCGGGCCGCGCGCGCGGGGAGCGGGAAGCGGCGAGGGGCGGCGAGAGGGCCGTACCAAGGAGCGATGGGCGGTAACCGCGCGGGGGGGCTGTGGCGGCCCCTCCGCCGCACATGGCACCGCCCGCAGGGACGGGCCTGGCCGGGGATCGCTGTTGTGGCGGGGGGCGGGATGGTTCTCTCCGTGCCTGGCTCCAGGGTTGATCTTCAGGGCCTTGCCGGGGATCGCTGTTGTGGCGGGGGGCGGGATGGTTCTCTCCGTGCCTGGCTCCAGGGTTGATCTTCAGGGCCTTGCYGGGGATCGCTGTTGTGGCRGGGGGCGGGATGGTTCTCTCCGTGCCTGGCTCCAGGGTTGATCTTCAGGGCCTTGATGCCTGGGGGTAGCGTTTAAGAGTTAAGGTCAACGGGTCGTTATCCACMTGGAGACCATTGACGGAGTGATGTCCCACCAGGAGATGGTACTGGGGCCAACATTGTTCCTCTTTGTCAGCGACATGGACAGTGAGACTTAGTTAACTCTCATCAAAGCTGCTGACGACAGTGAGCTGTGTGGTGCCATCGACACGCTGGAGGGAAAGGATGCCATCCAGAGGGATCTGGATAGGCTTGAGAGATGGTCCCGTGTGAATCTCACTAAATTCAACAAAACCAAGTACAAGATCCTACACCTGGTTCAGGGCAGTCTCAGACTGTCAGTTTACAGGACTGTAGGAAGCAGAACTGSTACTTCACACAAGAAGAAATATCTCAGGGAAGCTAAGCTCACATTCAGTAATAGAGCCAAAGTTACGGTATAGAACTGATACTGTCGCTGTCTTTGCCTGTGAAAGATAATGTAATCATGGTTAGTATGCAACACATTTTGGGAAACATACTGCAATATGCTATACATACAGACATCCTGTGCATTGCAATACAGTCAAAGCCATGATGGTGCCGCTCTGAGGGCATTTAATAATTGAGCACTCTGTTACAGAGATCTGAAGTCTCACACAGGTACAACTTCTTCAACAACAATCTTCTTCTACACAGGTACAACTTCTTCTACAACAATCTACCAGGCTTTTCAAAGTATGAGATGAATGCTGTTGTTTCAGCACTGCTGCTCAAGAAGTCTTCATGGAGTCACATTAAAATATATTTTCTTCCACCTGCTTTTTTGACAGTACTGCCTACTTATTGCACTGAATGCCAACCTTTTATATGTAACACTGTGCAGGAAATACTCTTGCAAAGTATTAAACAGCAGGCCATTTCCAGTCCAGCATATTGTGAAATGTTACATAGATTCTGGATTTAAAAAAATATATTTAATATGAGTTCTTGACCTTGGACAGAATATTAGATTGGAACTTAAAATGCCATTTTAAATACCATTGGAACTTATAATACCAAAATTCCCATTATTGTCAGTTTTTGGATGAGACTGAGAAAACATGATCTCTCAAGTTTTTCAATCTGTCGCTAAAGATAGTGATTTTGATGGGCTTTATATAATGGTCTAAAATAGCATTAGCTCTCTRTAGAATCAGGAGATTAGATTTGCTGAATCACTGAATAGATATTCCTAAAAAAACGCTCACAAATCATACTTTTTAAAATGGGGGAAATTAATTTTAAGCTTGTTTTGTTTTGTTAACTTGATTTGCAGGCTTTCACCAGTGAATTTCAGAAATAGTCATTAAAACACTGAGTGCATTTTTTAATAGCTGTAAAGTATAATCAGGTGTTTAAGACAAAATTAAAATTCAAAGTTCTGTAGAAGAAACACTGAATTACTTGACACAGATTAAATACCAGCCTTTGTTCTCTTTAACTGATAGGATGCTATAAAAAGACGTCTCTGATCACACAGCAAGATTCAGACACAAATTAGGCCAAACTGATGCTGCTTAAAACATCTCAGTTCTGCATTCCCTGACTTCCATGTGTCTGCCTTTCAACTGGAAAAATATTTTGTGGTTTTTTAAAATTTTATTATATAGATCCCACTTAAGAGTTTAGATTGTCCCTGTCAGTAGTAGTYCAACTTCCTTTTATTTCAATAAAAGGGACAAATTGGCAGGAGGTCCAAACTGGGACTTGGTGTCCAGCCCATGGTTTAATTCCTGCAGGGAATACAGTTTCTAGAAAGCAGAATGTTATTGTTTGTTCTCTTAGCATGCCAACTGGTGGTTTGGTTTTTGGTTTGGGGTTTTTTTTTTTGGTTTTTTTTTCACATTATAGCCATCATAACCACAGGGAAAGCAAAATTAAGTTTTTTAAGGCAGATTAGCCAGAAAAAGGAAAAGAATAGGTGTTTTTTGACATCTCTGAAGGTATCTACACCAAAATAGCCTCTGAAGAATTTGTCTAGTGGCTCAGCCTTTACCAGAAACATGACARAAGATGTCAGAAAACAAAATACATTTGGCATTGGGTATTACTCAATGCTCATCCTCTTAAGCTTTTATTATAAGAAGCTTAACTACTGCCACTGCTGGTTGCACCAGGACTGCAATAATTATTGTATATTTCATATAAGAGGCTAAAGGGGGGTTGGGGGAGGTTGACATTTTCCTTTACATACTCTTCCTTCTTTGTGTAAAGAGACATTCTCAAAGGCCAAGAGCATGAGAACATTGGGATRCAAGAAGGTAGGATGAAATCTTAAAATACTTTCAGGACATTGCCACAGTACCTTATCCTGAGAATCTCTGATCTGTGTTTATATTAACAATGTCCCTGAAAACCAGAGAASGGCTTTTTAAAAAATTCTTATTTTGTAAGACACCCAAAGAGTGAGCTGGGCTCCTGAAGTCTGGTGCCCAGGCTTTGCGAAACCAGGTGCTTAATAACAGTCAGCACCCTCAGTATAAAGGAWCTCTGAAAAGAGAATTCCTGGCTTTGTCTACTTTTAGGCTCTTCCCGAGGCAAGCAGCTCTGCCCTTCTTCTCACAGTCCTAAATGAGGTTCTTCTGTTTGAAGCCACYACTGCTCTTACTCTCCTCTTACAAAACAACCCCATGTCCCCCTCCTCYCCCGGGAATGGAGAACTCCAATTTAATCACCGTATCTTTTGAGGAAAAAAAAAAAACAAACAACATTGCCTGCCTCTCCCCCTCAAAAGCAAGGTTTGGCAGCATACTTTACATCCTGGGGGCACAATTTGCATAATTTTGTGGACACTGCGCCCCGTGCGGAGAGCGCACGGGTTCCCGGGGAAGGGCTGGAGCTGTGGTGCCGCGTGCCCAGCAGGGGGCGCCCTGCGCTGGCCTGAGGGCKCTGCCCACAGCGGGCGCTCTGAGGGACGGGAGGCAGCGGGTCCGCAATCGCCGGCTAGAGAGTGAGTAACTCACCTTGGCATCCTCCACATAGGAAGAGAATCCTACAAGGAATGAGATGCGTTTCGCACTAAAGATAGTTGTGTTGCTCCAATGCTTACAAAGTGARCCTGGTGTGATTAACTCAGACACGGACATTTCACAGGTTCACACTTGCATTAGACCAGACACATTTTATTCCTGGTGACCATATAACATTGGCAACATTTGGGATCAGAAAACTGTAGCTAGCAACCCTTTGCTGGTTCCTTCCTTTCAATGGCTGCAGAGCTGCCTTTGGGGACATGCGAAATTACAATAATGTCCATTTAAGCTTTCAGCTGAAGGAACGAAAGACCCTTTTAAAAAAGCTTTCCTTTTCTCAGGCTATCTTACATTGTTTAGATATAGCTTACTTGCTAATTACATTTACTCCTGTAATTAAAATGAGTTTATTTGTGCAATTGTTTCTCCATACATTAACGTTGCTATGGCAAGTGATTGCTCTGTTAGGCTTTCTGCAGAATATGCAACCAACTAATGCTTTGTAGTGTCTGCACACTTTCCTGTTTCCTTAAAGTCTTCCAGGACAGGAAGGAAACCTTGCAATGGTAGTTGTAAGGTGTATGTGCAAGCAAGTTGTGTGCAAAATACTTACCTAGCCTAAGGCTGGTGAAATGGCTGAGYGAATGCTTTGTTGCCAGTCAACTGTAAATTACTTATCAGTTTTACATCTCCTAAACCACACTAGTTTCTGGTCGCTTTACTTTCCACAGTTAGTCAGAAATAGCCAGGTTTTATAAAGCCAGCCACAMAGAAGGGTGAAATGGCTTTGTGATGTTCTTGTGAGTAGAGGGCCCTGACCRCTGCTGCTGTGCCATGGCATGTCAAGTCGTGTCCCTATCAGATTAGATGGAGAAAGGTACAAGACCTATTCCTTCGGCTTCTTGGAAGCTGAAAATCTAGTATAATCACCTGGCTGTTGGAACAGGAGCTTTAAAGAATTTCTCGTAACAAACYCCCCAAACCGGTAACATCTGTCAGCCTGCTCAACAAGAATTGCATCCCTTGGTAGCTGCTCAAAATAAAAATAAAAAAAAATACTCCCTGAGGTAGGAATTAAATGGAGTGGAACATACTGAAGAAGAAGAATAAGGCAGGATGTACACCAGAAGAAAACTAAGCATCCTCAAATCCCACACATTTAATTTACTTAATCCGAGAGCCTTTCTAATACTTTCTTGGATGCAAAGTTTTAAATCTCTCTGATTTTCACCTACATCCCCAGAATGTCACTTCACAGAAAGAGCTTAGCCCTTTAGCTTGTCTTTGGTTTTTACGCACCCAGACTGACTAAACATGGTTGGTTATGTGTTCAGGAAAAACAGAAACATCCCTTCTCCTCTGTTTTGTTCTTTTGAATCTTTAGAGACTGAGGCTCATTATCAGCAATGCAAGAACACAGGTTTTTTTCTGGTAGCTGGAGAAAAGTAGCAAGATCTCAATCACCTCATGCATGACTAGTTGTAGTCTAAGCTGGCATGTGTTTCAAGTGTATTATTGTATC